TGCTGCTACAACCCAACACAACCGAGCGTTGTTTTCCTTCTCAATATTCGCCTTACTCATCCTTCTTCTTCCTGATCTTGCCCTCAGTCTGTATTGTCTCTGTGACCGCATCAAAGCAATCGGCAATCGATGGTTCCGACCCATCCGCGCTGTAATCATGACCCGCCATGCGACTCAGCGTCAGTATGTAGGAACAAGCAATACGCAGCACAGAGAGCTTTGAAAGCTTCTGCGCATTCGAGTAGGAAGGCACTGAACGCCGCAGCGTCTCGTAAGCGGCGGAGATGGTATGGACGCGCGTGCGCTCACGCGCATTGGCCTCAATGCGACGTTCGCGTGTCATATTCTTGTAGTTGCGTTGCTGTGGACGCGCACTACCACTGCCAGTGCTGCCGCCACTACCGCTAGCGCCGCTGCCACAAGGCGCCTCTTCAGCACTGCTGGGTTTGTACTGCTCTATGGCGGAAGCGGCGGCGACGGCGGCGGCGGCTGATGCGTGCATCTCTTCAAAGCCTGACGCGTTTGCGTTCGTGACATCCGCTGCAGCTAGGCTAGTTGCGCGCACCGTTAACGATAGAGGGACGGAGGACTCTGCGGTGTTGGCATGGAACTTGAGATGACTGTTTGCGGCTTGCTGTTTCTTCGGCACATAAACGGACGTCGTTGTTGATGCATTATCGGACGGCGCATGCGCGTACAAATGTGCTGCTTGTTCACTTTCCCTGCTGTTCGCTGGTTTCTTCGCCACCAACGCCAGCGGTTCCAGTTGTTCCTCTACTGTGGCGACGGGTATGCGATGTAGCGTTGTCACGCCTGGATGTCGGACAAACACTTGCGCGGGATTGGGCATCAATTCATGAGGTAGCACTTGACTAGGGTCCCAGATGCCATGCGGCAGTAGTGGCGGCGTGGCAAGCGCGGGTGGTGTCAGCACCACTGCCGAATCTGTGGTCGAGGTATAGCGGATACGTTTCTTCAGCGGTGCTGTGGCAAGGGCGTTTGCGTGCGCGCCCTCCGAGGCTGCCGCCGCCGCCGCTGCCGCACTTAGGCTGGCATCGACTACTTTGGAGGGTTCGGAACTTTTGCGTTTGTTACGTACGAGCGCAATGGGTGTAACCTTAACCTCGACGGAATCTTCAGAGGTCTCTGTCGTCGCATCAGTGGGGCTGGTTGGAGAGCTGGACTCAAGGCGGGCGTGTTCGATGCGATCAAGATCGTCACCTCCCTCAGAGCTGCCGGAACAGAAGCCAGCATCGCGATCATTAGAGTTGGGAGAGCCTGCAAGGAAAAGAAGAAAGAAGAGAAAGAGTTAGTAAAATCAAAGTGTGTGTGCAAAGTTAGTGGTTGTCAGTCTTAAATGCTAAAAACTATTAAAATAATCTATGTCTAATAAGGGGCAGCAACGAGCGCGCACAAGTCACCACACTTCAACGCTTAAGGTTTGCCTATTGTTAGCGCAGCGCGTCTGTATTGATTCTCCCGTTTCTATTTAATTGAAGCGATTTGTTTCTTATGCAAATTCGTTGTTGTATGTCTTGTTTGTTGTGGTTGGTGGCTAATTTGCATAACCAAATTATTTAGTCATCAATACAAGCCACGACACAAAAAAGTGAAACTGTGTTCAGCGCAAAATAAGTAACAAAAAATATTCCGCTTAAACCAGTCTGCGCCGCCTACGCGTCTGCGCACAGATGGTTTTCAAAGCGATCACGGTGCGCGCCGATGCGATAGCTGCCTGTGTATCGGCTAACGCTTGTTGTGGTGGCACAGCAGGCGGCGGCTAAATGCCAGAAGTAGAAAAATACAAGTCACCAATAAAAGCAGCAAGCGTTAATCGTTTCAAGACTAGCCAAATGCGAAGTCTATGCTTTGTGGTTTCAGGGCTTGGCCATGACTCAAAGCCGTCACTGACACCCGCTTAACGATGTATGTATGTATGTAAATAGCTGACGGTCGGTTCGTCTACAAGATTGGCTCAATGGGCCATTAACAACCGTTGGCTGCTGGCTGCCAGTGAGCAGTTAATGCGTTTTAAGCGCTGCTAAACATTCGAGCTTAGCAGGTGACAGCTCATTTAGGAGCTGAAGCGTCAAGCGGGCGAGAGTGTGTAGATAATTTATTGCAGTTATTTTGAGATTAAAATGTTTTTTTTTTTTTGTTTTAACCATTTTTGATGTCGCTGAATCTAAATACAAATGTAGTTAAAATAAGCGACAAAAAAGTCGTGTTTCAATTAAAATTGTATTTAAGTTTTTATATTTTCTCTAGTCTTATATAATCTGATAATCACTTACAGCGTTGTCTTAGCATTAAAATACTATTCTGTCCAAGCTAAATTACACTTGCTCGAGCCTTAAAAGCTGGCCAAGTTGAGCTTTATTTTTTCCTGTGTCTGCTGGTCATCAGGAAATTGTGGGTTGCCATTTCCGCCACTCAAAATCGACTTCAAAGTCTAGACTAGTAGAGACTTAAAACTATTTAAGTCCAACGTAGATTGTTAATAAATAAATTTATGCAAATTAAATTTGGACTACTTAGGAAAAAGTAAATTGCCATCAAAATTGAATTGACTTATTTGGCGCACTATTTTATTGCACAAAAGTTGTTCAGAAATCTACATATTACTTGACTCCACAAAAATTCGTATTTATTTACTCATTTTAAATAGCCACGAACACCAAAACGCAATAACCGTTTCAGAACCGTTTCAACCGATTTGAACCGTTTCACTTCTGAATGTAATTTGAATGCCAAAAATGTAAAAATCAACAGCTTGAGTGAATACATCAAATCTAAATTAAAATTTGGCACAGTTTACACAGTAGCGTAACTTTAAGAACATGAAAACCTCAAACTTCATGCTAATCCTTTAACCCGTTTCAAAACCGATTCGAACCATTTCACTTCCGAATGAAATTTTGCGAAGTATATTAGTTTTGTCGAATTATTAAAGTTTCATCGGATTTTTTACCTACATAATAAGGGTACCTAAAAGACAAGAAAAACCACGAATTTGCTGCTATTTCTTTCTAATTTACTTTATTTCATATAAATTTCTTCAAACCGACCTAATACAAGTAGCACCGAGACAAAAAACGCGGCAAAAATTTTCATAACGGTTTTAGAACATATTCTTCTAATCTAACCGTTTCAATTCTAAACGCTAGGTTAAAGCTGAAAATCCATAACTTGGAGTATTATGGAACCTTTTAAACTTAAGTTGATATTTTTGCTGCAACTAACACAGTAACGTTACCCAAAATACATTAAAATTCTCAAATATTTTGCTAGTTTTTTTTTGATATCGCTTTATTTCATATAAATTACTAAGATAATGGTTAGTTCGACTAGCTTTAAACTAAAAAAAATCAATAACCGTTTCAAAACCGTTTCACTTCTACCAGTAATTTTGAGCCGGCAAATGTAAAAAAATCAAGTTTTATCGAAACGCACTAGCTTCCCATGAAAATTTTCAGTAACCATTTCAAAACCGGTTCGGCCTGTTATAACCAATTCATGAAATGCTTAAAGTGTAAAATATATACATATTTTTAGCTTCAAACTATAAACTGTTACTTATTTTGTTATTTAATCTACTGTCCCTAAAAAAAAAATACTAAAAAAGATCTCGTGCCCTACAGCCTTTCGCTTTAACTCCGCTGCTAAAAACTCATAACTCAAAAAGAAGCAGTCCAACGATAAGGTAGATGTCAAAGAGTCATACAGGGCGATATTTTCAAGTTCACCACAAGAAAGGCAACAACCTCACCAAAAAAAAATCGCGGAATCGCACAATTGAAAGTGGCTCGAAGGCGTACAGCAAGTAGAGCGAGAAAAGTGAAGAATGAAGCGAAACAAGTGCCTAAAAAATTCATAAATTCGCAAGCACTGTGCATTCTAAAAACCTCAAAACTTGTTCCAGCAAAACGTAGCAAGTGCGTACTTTGGCCACCACATGTGGCTCATCGGCAATTAAGGATAACGTGTTTGGTATGCAAATTAAACGTATTTTGCGATTCGAAAATATTCTACTCACTGCGCTTGGAGCTTGCAAGCTGAATCATTGAGTGGCGGGTAAAAATTGGGAGAAAATGCTAAAAACAGAAAAATAAAATAACGAGATTTTTAATGAAAATGAAAGGGCAGCAGTAAGTAGGGTGAAGGTTTTTTTTCGACGTATGAGTATTTCGCGCAATTTTGTTTTTTTTTACTCAACGCAAACAGGTGCAACCTGCTACGGTTTGTCGTATGGACAGCTGTGTTCACTCTGGCAGCTAAGCGAGCTAAGGAACGTAAGCCTACTGAATTTTTATTTTACTAATTGCGCTGGCTACAAGCAAATTGAGCAGCCACTTGACGAGCTAGTTAATTGACTCGTTCAAATAAATTAGCCTTTTCGTTTTTAATTTTACAACGCAATAAATTTCCGATAAAAATAAATTTCTAGTGAAGTTTTTAGCGTTTTTTGAAATAAATTTTAACTCTCTGACTTGTTTATCATTATTTTTGCATTTTTTGGAGCTAAAGATACGAAAACCGTTTCATAACCGATTCAACCGGTTTGAACCGATTCGAACTAATTCCTTCTAATTTTGCGCATGACGCACACAAAACTAAAATTTTGCTTCAAAACGAAAAATATATATAGATTTTCAAGGGTTCCTCTGGGATTTCTACGCCATTTTTGTATGCACTGCAATTTATTTATTTAATTTTTAACTACTCATGCAATTCTAAGCTTAAAACGGCTGTATAGTGTCAAAACCGATTTAACCGGTTCAAACCGTTCCGAACAGATTGTTTGTAATTTCAAAAGTGACGGACGCAGAAGAGATTTTTGCGGCAGAACTGTCTTTTTTTCAAATGTGATAATTTTCTAAACGATATTAGCATACAAATTTTATTGATATATAGGAAAAATTTTTGCTTCATTTGCGTAATACTCGTGTCATTTTAGTAAGTCGCAGTTGCAACGTTTACCCAAAAAAAAAACACTCAAAATAACTCCAAATCGCAAAGTTTCAAAACCAGCGCCTGACAAACAGGCTGCCTACCGTCAAAGCAACGACACACCTTCAGCAGTATGTCAGTGTGCTAAGCAGCTAATCAGCACAAAAACAAAATTGCATAAAATTTGTATAAAAAGGTGAATAAAATTAAATATTTATTAATGCAAAAACAAGGAATTAAAAAAAAATTAAATGCGCTGACGCATGCGCCACATTTTGCAACAATGTATGTACACAATCACTTACATATGTACATCCATGCATGCACCCCAAACGCCGAGCATATTTGCTTAAGTGGCAAATTACAACTTTGAGGCAATGACTCAACGACAGACGCTTGGCGACAAAATGAGTATTTGCACAACTGTTAAGTGAGGTGGTGGTAGGTGTAGTTTGAAAAAATATGTAAAAAAAACATGCTGGGTGAAGTGCAAGTAGGCTTATAAAAACAACGGCAGGAAGGAAGGCCGGCCCACATTAAAACAGCCCTTTTCTACGAATTACTTAGCCGCGTTGCCGCTTTAATTACTGCTGCTTTAATGTATAACATTTTGTTTTCTTGCACCACACTCCTCAACTTCTCCCTATCTATGTATAACAGCTCATTGCATATTTTCCTATCAATTAGCGTCATATAAAAATCCAGATTAGCTTCAAGCTTGTTGGTATCCGCAACGAGCCTAACCCCCTTCGATCAACATCCGATGAGCAGCCGTGCTGGGCAGCGCTTAGCACCGTGCTACATTAAATTGCTACTTTTATAATTGATATGCTTATAATTGCTTTTCTATTTTAAATAAAATTTTAATAGCACAATTGTTTTAATTCTTTCCTGGCTTACTCATTTGCTTTTAATTGCTGACTATTTGTGTTTATTTCTTAATGCAAAAAAAGCTGTTTTGTTCAACGAAATTAAGCGGGAAAATATTTGATAAAGTTTTGTGTGTGTGTGAATTGTGATAAATTTTGTAATTTCGAGAAAAATAAAAATAATAATTTCCGGAAAAACAGGACTTCGGAATTTGGTATATCCACCACTGACTTGAATAATTTGTGCAATTATAAATGTTGTTAAAAGTACAAATTTAATTTAAGTTTTTTTTTTTGAATACTTGAAATATTTTTTGTAAAATATACAAAATTTTTTAATTAACATATTAATTTTATATACACCGTTTGCGTTTTTACGTATAAAATTTAATTAGAATGTATTTTTTTTTAATCCTTTTTTGGCATCTTTTTTGAATGACTAGCTGCTCGAAAACTGATCATGCAAGCTAAAATCTGTCTTATCACCTGAAAATTTTTATTCCGCACATAGTAAATACATGAAAACTAAAAGCAAAAAGTGAACCGGTTCAGGGAAAATGAAACTCATGATAAGGCTGAATATAAATTGGCTACCTCGAGTTGAATAAGCGTTTAAAAAAATTTGAAATTTTTCAGAAAATTTGAAGAGTTAAAACAAAGTTGTTCAGCGAAACCGGGTTGTCTCCAAATCAAATTTGACAAGAGATGACGGAGAATCGTTCTACAATACATCATATATTGTAAAAATTTTTAAAAACCGTTTCATAACCGATTTGAACCGATTCGTTTTTTTTTTTAAATACTTAAATCGCTAATATTGCCCTCCGTTATTGTCTGTTGTTAAAAATCATTTCTGAACCGATTCAGCCGATTCGATTTTTTTAAGACACAAGACACCTGCTGTAAACCGCTCGCCCTATGGTTCACTGATATCGAGAGCATTATTTTTTAGGTTCTATTT